TTTGGGGAAAAGAAGAAGGAGGTTGAAGGCAGGGCACTCCTCCTTCCTGGAGTGCTATGAGAGGGAGGGAGGGAGGGAGGGAGGGAAGGGGGCCCTGCGTGGGAAAAAAGGCAGTGGTTGGGGAACATATGTAATGCGATTAAATCATGAAAGAAATCGTAGAAGCGGGTGTAGAGCAATAGCCGAAGAGAAAATCCTAACCTCTTTCTCCAGGAGTGTTTGACATCATCCTGGGAGAGCTGGCACCCCTCCCTCCATCCCCCTTTCCCCCCTCGCGCCCGCCCACAGTGTGAGGCTATCCTCCGGCTTTCTTCCTCTCAATTTGCCCTATCTTCGCATTCGCTCACCTTCCTTTCGTCTATTATTCCACTCTTTCCGACCACTGCCTCCGTGGCTCCATTTTCTCACCCAGCTTGTCCTGTCCCCCACCTCATCTCCCTCCCCCCACCCTCCTTTTCCGCCTCTTTCTACCTTCTTTCTCGCATTCCCGCCCGTGTCCTCTGCACCGTCCCTCTACTATTTTCTATCATGTCTATCGATCTCGTCTCCCTTCTCATTTTCGCGCGAAAAGATCGTGGAGCCCTTGCAAGCCCTCGCCTGCGAGAAGAACGGAGGAGGAAGGGAGGGAGGGCGGGAAAAAGGGTGGGAAGAGGAAAGTTTGGAATCGGTTTGACGCGCTTGTACTTGATTAGGGAAAGAGACGAGACGACGGGAAATGGACAGGGGAAATCAGAGAAAAAAGCGGACGACACAACGATGGAGGTGACCCGATAGGTGAACGAGACAGTCCATGGGGGTGAGAAAGAAAGAGGTAGGTGGCCAAAGGGTAGGCAAGCAGCAGTACGTTTTTTGAAGCGCGAGTCGAGGACGGCGTCAGCGGACGCGTCGTTGCTGAAGTCGGTGGACCAAGACACGAAGGTGTGGTCCGTGGCGGTCACAGGCTGAGGGAGGGTTGGCCGGAGGGAGGCAGGGAAGGAGGGAGAGGGGGGGGGGAAGGTGTCACAGAAAGACGTGGTCTACGCGACAATCTTAATTAGCCCACGAGAATGATAAGCCGGAGGGTTGCCTCGGTCGCCTCTCCCTCCCTCCCTCCCTCCCTTCCTTCCTCTCTTCCTCCCTTCCTCCTACTTTGCAAGTGAACGTGTGCAAGGCGGAGGAGACGGAGATGCTGGGGTTGCTGCTGATAATCTCGAAGGACACAAATCTGTACGTGACGGAAGAGGGGATGTGAGAGGGCGCGCGAGAAAAAGAAGAAATGAGATTTCTGGCGCAAACATTGAGAAAGGAAGAAGACAAGGAGACGCGTCACCAGTGACCCGGTTCTCGAAATGCTGGCTTTCCCCCTTCCTGTCCCTTTCCCTCCCTCACTTGTGGAGCTCGCTGGCCTCCACGATGACAATGCCCCACTGGGTGCCGTCCTTGAAGTGCAGCGTGTAGGTGCTGCCCAAGGCCAAGCCGGTGCCAGGGGAATCAGGGGTGGCCTGGCATGATTTAGAGGTATGTGCGGATGGACGAAAGGAAGCTATCATAAGCGTTATGTGAGAGAAGACAAACGAAAGCTATCATAAGCGTTGCAGATTGTGACTGAATTGCTCGCGCACACCCGTCAAGGTCTCTGTCACCTCCCCCCGACCTCCCTCCCTACAGCTTGTCCTTGGACAGGAGTGAAATACCTTGTCTACCAGATTCCACCACGTCTCCATCTTCATTCCTTTGATGACTGGCCAGACTATTTGGAACGGAGAAAAATCAAAAAGGACGCGGGATAATGGGTCAAGAGCGAGAAAGGGAATGGTATGAGGTAGCATCCTTTACAGTGATGATAGACTGATGTCTTCAGGTGCGTGCCCTTATCCTCCCGCCTCTACCTTCAGTAATAGCGCTAGGAATCACATGTGTCTCCTCGATATGGGTGGCGATGGCAGTGGGCGTGGGTGCGGCCATAATGCTATTCGAATTACAGGACGGGTCTGTGGCTGGAAGGGGAGGTGGAGGGAGGAGGTTGCCTCGTGAGGGAGGATAATGAATTGACACGCGGCTGGACGGTCTTCGACAGATGAATGCGATGTGTAGCGGAAAACGAATGCAAGGAATCGGTGGATGGTGGCTCGCTTTTTGATTTTCTTGCCTGTCTTCAGTCTCGACAATGTCCAGTCCTTGGAAGGAGGAGGTTGATGTAACCTCCTGCATTCTTGCTTGAAGCTTCACGAATTTCTCAAAACACTGGCGATGCACGCAATTTATGTACAGGGAATAAAAACAGAGTACAGGCTCATGCAACTATAGCAGCTATGCGCGGTATCTTCGCTCCTGTTCTCACGCCTTTCCTCCCATCGGGAGCCCCAGACATAACGCGCTTTTTGCGGCATGCACGATGGCTCCTGTCAAATGACGTGAACCTGGCAATATTTGGAACCAATTCGGGTGAGACAATACACAACCAAAGAATAGAAAAATAAGGGGGCCAATGTTGCTTGACGGTGCTTGGCCGCATAATCTGTCTTATGTTGACCTTCGTGTTCGCTTCCCCCCTCACGTCTTACGCTCCATCCCTTCCAAATTCGTTGCAACCGGCAGAGGCCAGCTCCATGACCACCTCGGAAAAACTGACACTCCTGCATACGCTCGTTGAAGGTTCGTGCGACATTACATTTTTCGTTCTGTTTTCTGCTCCTTTATAATCCTGAGGCGTCACAATGCGGTGCTCACCCCTTCCGCTGCCCCTCACATTGGCTCCCGCTGTCTTGACTCATAGAAGGAAAAGCAGATCCCAATCGCTTGATGCCTGGTACTGGCGCCTGCGCCGTGGGCGACGCCGTCACTCTCTCGAAAGCATCCGTCAGACTTGGGTAGGGAGGGAGGAAGTACGGGCAGGAGGGAAGCAGGACGACGTGAGTCAAGTAGGAGAAAGAGAAGAGAATAAAAGGGAAATGAAGGAGAGAAACATCGGCAATATAGGCGTTTGGGTCTATAAGTCGTATTCATAAATCCCTAACATCTGCCCAGATGCGGAGGTGTCCTGGTCCTTCCTCCCTTTTATTACAAGGGAGTCGGCGACGAGGGTGTCTTCCGGTATTACGCCCGTCTGATCGAGCAGGTCGCAGACGAGAGGTACGCGCGCCTAAGCCCTTCCTCCCTCCCTCCCTCCCTCCCTCCCTCCCTCCTTTTTCCCCAGGTTTTTCCTTTCTCACCTCCATGCGCCCCTTCCTTCCTTGCGTCTTCCTGCCCCATCATGTCCTACCCTTGTCCGCCGTCTCACCCTCCATGGGCCTCCTCTTTCTCTCTCCACACAACCTGTGCAGGCTGCGGGTCTACCTCTATCACATCCCGCAAGTCAGCGGGGTAGGAATCAGCCATTCCCTGATCGAACGCCTCGTGAAGGTACCGAGCACGGGGTCGAGTCGGGGGAAGAGCTCTTGGGTTAGGGTTAGGGTTATGGTTAAAATGAGGGGTAACTCAACCTTAATGCCAGTATTAAAATCCGGTGACCCGGCTGTCTTCTCTCCCAGACCCCTCTTCTCCTATCTCACGCGTGGCCTCTTGGATGGGCTCAAGGCGGTCGAACACGATTTCAATGATAGCACCTCCTCTCCCTCCCTCCCTCTCTCCCTCCCTCCCTCCCTCCCTCCTTCCTGTCCTCCAGGCATATCCGGGTATTATTGCCGGCATAAAGGACTCGGCGGGGGACTGGAAACACACAGCATCCCTGATCACCCATTTCGGTAGGGTTCTTCCTCTTCGTATCCTTTCTATCCTTTTCGTTACTCTTGTCCTTCCCCCTTGTGCTTCCCGCCCTTCTTCCTCCCTCCCTCTTTCCCCATAGAACCTCATGCTTCAAATGCATCCTCACCACACGCCCCTTCCTCCCTTCCTCCATGAGCCCGTTCAGGCAAAGGTCTCGCGACGGAGGGGAGCGGTGCCTACCTCCGGGTATTCGCGGGGAGCGAAGCCTTCCTCCTCCGCACACTTCGGGCAGGGGGGCAAGGATGCATCTCCGCCACTGCCAACGTGAATCCCGCCCGGATTGTCGAGGTAGGAGGTTACTCTTTTGCCGTGCTGCGCGGGCCTGCTGCCCTCATTGTCGGACTCTCTTTCCTTCTTGTCCCTTCATTGTCTGTTGGCTTTCCCTCTCCTTGCTTTAGTGGACCCAGCTTCGATCCGGCAGGACTCGATCTTCCCGTCTCCTCCCTTGCCAGTGTCCTACCATCCTCTTCTCCTTCCATTACCCTAGCTCCTCCCTGTTTCCTCTCTTTGTCCCTCCGTCATCACGAACAGTCTTTCAACTGCTATGCTCCCTCCCTTCCCTCCCTCTCTCCCTCCCTCTCAGCTCTACCACCAACACGAGACCAGCCAGGCAGACCGCCTCCAGGACGCGTGCCAGCGCCTTCGAGAAGCTTTCCCTCCCCATGCACTCATCCCTTCCATGAAAGCGACCATAGCGCACTTCACGCACGACAAAGGGTAGGAGTAAAGACGGGGAGGGAGAAGGGGGGAGGATGGGGGTTATACCCCCTTGATATTCTTCCCTCTGACATAGCAAGGGATTCCTTGGCTGGGAAAAATCCTTCATATTCCCACCGTTCTCCTCCGCTTTCTTCGTCATGCGTGGAGCGGTCGTCCTCACACGACATTTCTTGCGTCCCTCCCTCCCTCCCTCCCTCCCCCG